GGGGCGGGGCCGGGGGGCGGGGCCGGAATGTGACGGGCGGCTGCAAGGTCCAACGAGAGCGCGAGAGAGGCGGGGCTAAACCTGACAGACAGCTGGCGGGGCGGAGGCGGGGTCTCTATCACGGACAACCCCCTTCGCCAATCGGCGGCGGGGGCGGRGCTCGAGGCTGATCCGCCGCCGACCGTGAGGGGCGGCCCGAGCTCGAGGGGCGTCACGAGCGGCTGAGGAGGGGCACGCGGGATTAGCTTGAGCGACGTCGTCGTTACCCAATGAGAGAGGAGAACTGCAGGACGCGCGCCCCGCTGGCCAATAGGAGGCGCGGGGCGGGTGAGGGAGGCGGGCGGTTCCCTGAGGCGGAGCGGGCGGGGAGGGCTCGGCGCCCCCTCAGCTGAGCGCGGGCCCCGCGGACCGGGGGATGCGCCGGTATCTGCGGTAGGTGACGGGAACAAGGCGGGCTTCCGTCTCGGGGGCCTCCCGCACGGCCGGGGAAGCGGGGCCTGGTGGGACAAGGCCGTGGGGCCGAGGGAGGGGCGGAGGTTGTGAATACAAAGCTGTGTTTAAGTGGGATTTGAAACCAGGCCTACCRCAGTATTTCTTTCTAAGTGTTAAASTACTCATACGTTCGGAATAAGCTCTAAATAGTATTTAATCGAACTGGGATTCTGTTTAATATGKTTTCAGCATAATATGAATTTCAGGACTTTTTTAGGCCATGTTCCAGGTTTAAATTTAAATATATAGGTTTATTTTATGATTAATACTGAGCTGAGTGTCATGTGTAAGTTTTCCTTTTTTTGATTTTTCTTCTAAGCAGGACAGAATTAGCTATCATAATATCCTCGTTATGCAGATCATCCCACCAAGGTCACTGATGTTCCTTGGATAGTTTCTCATCATTGAAAATTTATTCTCCCTAATTACATAGGTCCTATAATAGRAGTCAGGAGCTTTTCTTATTTTCACAGTCTGCCTTTGACATCCCTTCAGTGTTCGCACTGAAGAGCCAGTTCAGACCTGTAGCACAGCTGCATCCTTTTCCCAGTGTCACCCATCTTGGGACAGCTGGGCTCTAGCAAAGAATCTGCCCATCATTTCTTTCATCATGAAGTGATCAAATGCTCCGTGTACTCAAACACTTCATTGTTATGTCAGCTCTATATCCAGATGTCAGCCTTTAAAATCTGGTATCTTTCTTTACTCGGACTCTGAGATTTCAAAAGTACAATTGGATTTTCTTGAGTTTTCATCTAAAAATRCCTCTAAAACTGGCAGGAGCCTTGSAGACCTGCCCAATCTGGCAGTAACAACTGTTTAGTCAGAGAAAGGGAGCATAGTATCACATGCTGAATTTTTTGCCTTTACTTTTTACATGTGTTGCAAAGTGGTTCTTAGGAAACTGAAGTGAACAACCTTCAAATTGAGCAGCCCCATGTAATACATCTTCAGTAGCTTTGTATTTCCTCCAGAGACAGGTGATAGCACTTTCTTTGAGTAYCTGATAACCTGATACTTCTAAGAGTGTTGAATTTCTTTGTTCCTTTTAGACCCAAGTTTCCAGTCTGTTTCTTTGGTTTCTGCTTTCTCCAGTTTACTAATAAGAGAGTCTCCATCTTGTAGTGTTTGTAGCATTGATTTCTAGARCTGGTTTTGAAAAACATTCTTGTGAGAAGAATGTTGAAACTTTATTTCAGATCATGACTCGTCACTTTAGCCACAGACTTGCACTTGAGTATATTGGAAGTGTTTTCAAAATACTGGAAATGCTTTAGGCAGGATATARCAATTGTTCTGTAATCCCCTACCCCTGCCAGCTGGTTTAGGTTTGTTTCTGTCAAGCACAATGCTGTCTAAACCTCCTCCAGTTTGTTTTTTTTTTTTTTTTCCCTTAACTCTTGAGTGCCATTTCTGAGCTTCATTCCTTCCCTAAGGAAAGGCAGGGGGAGGGTCTTGGTTCCATTCTGTCAGTAACTGACTTTCATCAGACCCTTTGATTATATGAGCAGAACTGAGACTGTGAAAAGCAAAATTGCAAAATCCTATATTAAACTTCTTTGTATTCCTAGTTCAGCTCAGAGAACTGGCCTGCTTTGGGTTACAAAAGTGTCAGCCCCAACACAAAGAGGGGACGCACTGACAGCAACTCCAATTTTGATTATTTTAAGCAAAACGGGATCTTTTCCTTAAAAGAAGTCCTTCTGCTATCCACTAAATGAAATCCATTCAAACTTCAAACGCAGACTGAACAAAATAGTAGATCTGTTGAACTGTGCATCAGAAGATGCAGATTTAAACTAAAGGATGATTTTGGTGAGGTACAAAATTTTTATCCCCTGACTGTGAGGTAGCAGGTAAATCTCATAACTATTTGAGACAGCAATTTTTACTTTCCTTCTTCGAGTAGCAAAGCTTTTCTGAGCACAGAATTTGTTCAACTTATTAATGTGGCAAAAACTATCCTAGTTAATAAGGAAAAGGTGGCAGTAGATTTTTGCTTGTTGGGGAGTTTAACAACTGTAATCAGGTGATGTTCTGAGYGTTGGTAATAACACAGAGAAAGCAGGAGCAGCACCTTGTGGGCAGTGGCACTGAGGGCACAGAGGGGAGGCAGCTTCTGTCCTTTCCTCAGCATCTGGTGCCGAGGATTAGATGCCTCAGAACACATCTCACTTGTAGTAACTCAAGTGTATTTGTAATCTGGAACAAATCAAAGCTCATTTTCTTATTTCAGATGAAAGACTATTAGCATTCTAAAGGGAATTATTACATGTTTAAASTCAAATTTTTAAAATAAATAAAAGACCTAATTCAGCCCCATTTTACTGGTAAAAATTAATTATTCATCTTTGTAGCATGAAATTTAGAGGAAAATCATAGTCCTTCACCCTTCTGGTTTTTACACTTAAAGTAAAAAGCTTTTGGCAGATGCAGTGGTAAAAACTTTCCAGTTAGGAATACAAAAACTGACTTTAATGACTGTAGTGGCAGATGCATTTGTCCGTGTTTTTCTTTCGTCATTAATACAGAGAAATTTAAATACTCTACCCAGCCAATAAACCTGTCAGCCAGTGTCTGAATGCTTTGAGATATGTGCCAGAAAGCAAACATTATCTGTAGGTTATAGTAATTTTAAGATTGCCAGCTGACAGAAAGCTGGGCTGTGCTCACTGGTTCAGTTTGAGCCCAGGTCACTTCAGCTGCAGCTCTGCACACTGCAGGATCTCTCCGAGGAATTTTGTGCTCCTTTGTGCTGGTTCACATTTTACTGTGGTTATTTTGTTATGGAGAGAGAATTGTTATGTTTTGTTTTCAAATATTAACTATGAGTGCCTTGGTGTTGGTGGTGGAAAATGGATCTAAAGATATTCTTAGTATTGAAAAATCCCTAAATGAGTCTGACAGCTTGTTTAGGATTAAAGTACACTTTGTTTCACAGAACAAWTTTAGATTAAGGCAGTTATACAGGTAACTTAAGGCATTCCAATGGAATGGTGGACTGGAACACTGTTCAGGGGAGCATGGTCATTATGAAAGAAGTGCTAGGAAGCAGTATGTGTGGGAGGTTAGGAGTGGGAAAGTAAGAGTAAGGAATTGGTCTCCTTTACAGAAAGGAGACCAATGGTTGTGCCATCTTTTGATGCCTTCYCTCCCCGTTTTGTTTTGTTAGGTTGTTGCTGACAGCGAAGGACTTCCCCTCAAAGCTGTTTAAATGAGAATGTCCCTGGCGCAAAGAGTGCTGCTGACATGGCTTTTTACGTTACTCTTCCTGATCATGCTGGTGCTAAAGTTGGATGAGAAAGCACCATGGAACTGGTTCCTCATTTTTATTCCAGTGTGGATATTTGATACAATTCTTCTAGTTATGTTAATTGTAAAAATGGCTGGACGGTGCAAGTCTGGCTTTGACCCTCGCAATGGCTCCCAGAACATGAAAAAGAAAGTCTGGTACCTCATTGCAATGCTGCTGAAATTGGCCTTCTGCCTAGCCCTGTGTGCGAAGCTGCAGCGATTCACCACCATGAAACTGGCCTATGTGTTCATCCCGCTCTGGGCCTTGCTGATTGGGGGCATGGTTGAACTTGGATATAATATCTTCTATGTACGAAGAGACTGAGCTATGCCAGATGGTTTTCAGTGCCAAGACTGGCACCAGTTTACTAGATTATTACCATTTTGCCACAAATTGGATCTTCAAACTAGAAAGCCAAATGAGTCAAGCTGGAGACTTTAGCTAAAGCAGGCTGAAGACTGAAAGTAGACTTGTTCCATTTTTTTTATTTTAAAACTGTCACATATACTCTTGTAAATAAAAGTATTTGTTCAACATAAGCTGTTCTAATATTACTGTTATTTTTTACATGGAATAAGATACAGGTTCTTCATGTGCAGATAGAAGATTTTCTTAAAGAAACCACCAATGTTCTACCCAGAGTATTCAGCACATTGCATGATACTAGGAAAGAGAAATAACATTTTCTGCTATTCATGCTGTAAGTCAAGATTTAACAATAATTTCCATAAGGAGCTAAAKTTGCTTTAAAAAATCAGTAACAATTGACAGCTGCCAAATAACAGCACAGAAAGAAATAAAGTAATACACCTTTTTTTTTTTTTGGACAGTGAGATTCCATCACAAGCCTAAAAATAAGCACTGTTTTCTAAGCTGCTTGAAACAGCCCATAACCAGTATGTTAACCTTGGGAACATGGTTGGTAGCTGAACTGTGCCAGCAGTCCTGAGATCCAGAGAAGAGGGAGACAGTGGTGATTCTTTTCCAARTGAAAAAGCACCAGTGGTGCAAGAGACTGATACCTGAAACTACAGGGTGAGTTCAGTACTGTGTTTGTACCTGACCAAAGTGGTGCTTGGACAAGGCAGTTTTAATGCCTGAAGATAGGAAATTTTCAGGGATGAAGCCTTAGCTTTGTGGGGTACTGGCAAACTCAGATGTGAGTAAATGACCTTTTCCAGGTAACAAGTGAATGGGATTTCTGGGAAGAAATGGAACTGAGTGTATTTTGTGGACTAAAGTGCTCTTCCAGGAGACACAGTAACACCAAATTCAAATGTAGCAGTTACCTGGGACATAATTAACATGCACTCAAGGTACTGATCCATTTATGGTCTAGGCACTGAAGAATGTCAAGTGACTAAAAAACTATCTAGGGTAACAGGGCATGCCTAGACCAGTGTCTCACTAATAAAAATTTAATTATGTATATTCAACTGTACTTGTTTGGGGAAAAAAAAAATCTTCCTGAACTGTTTGGATTTACTCTTGCTGTTCAATCACACAGATATGGGTAGATGCAGAGGGGCCMTATTGTGGGAGACTGCTGAAAGAGTTTTATCTAAGAAAACAACACATTCCATTCTACAGCAATGAATCTCAATTTAAAATATCAGGTAACAAATTATCTTTAAAACTAATTTAAGTCATATTTGTTTCAGAGTGGTTGACTGCCCTACCTTGCTAAAAGAGAAACCAGGAAAAGACAAAAAGAATTCCAAACCATAGCTGTTCTTAAAAACATGCAAAATATTTATAACCCCTTTATTTTAATTATAACACATCAGCTTTTATTAAGCAAACCCATCTCCCAGCCCCAATTCATGAGTCAGGTAATTTATGAGAATTACCTAGCAGGAACAGTTATTTTTAGGAGGTGTATCTATGCATTGTTAAGTTCAGAAAAATACTTAATGGAAGGATCTTCCTCTGTGTTTGAGACTTTTTGCCCGCTCATGTGAGGTTCTTGTAGATAACTGACTTCYTTCAGCCTTTTGTGATTTTTCAAGTAAAAATGGCACTTGTGATTAGGATGAGCTGTGGGAAGAGTACATTTATCTCAGAACAGGCTTAGACCTGCTGGCTACAGGACCTGTGAGAGCAAGCACGCACATGTGTATTATGGTACACCCTGTTATGTGTGGGGTGGAGAGAACAGGCAGCATCTGCACATCCCCRTCACGACTCTGAAACAGCTGTTCCCTTCTGCAAATAGGAACCAGGGCTACTGAGCCCAAGCCTGGAATGGAATGCCACTCCACAGCAGGCAAAGTAGACCTTGTGAAATTTGTTATGAAGAGTGTCTAAAGACATACCTCCAATTCAGGYGAACTTTGATGAACCACTTATCAAGTAATGATACACGTGTGTAACAAGCACTTAAGTACCTCAGACAAGATGATTTTATCTACACACACACATACACACACACACACACTTACCTGTGGTAGGTATGGACCAAGCATAAAACAATATCCCTAAGTCCTTCCCCATCAGATGATTCTGGTAGAATAAAAGTCCAAATTCCCTTGTTCAGAGGATGCCAAAGCACCCCCATGCTGCTAAGAGCAAAGCAGCTTTCCTCAGCCAAGCTGATGATAATAATTGATTGTTGTAACATAAAACAAAAGATGGAAGAATAAGGACTGGCTTCACTGGAACTTAGTGTATTATTAGCAAGATAGGCGATGAATGCTGACTCTGCCCCCTTAATAAACCCCTTCTCTTCCACAGATGTAATAATTATCTGAAAGTTTGGAATCTCTAATTAACTAGTATCACACACAATCCTTACAAGTTTCCTTTTAATTCTTGCCTCAAATTCAATAGAAAAATATCAGTAATTTCAGTTTTGGTTGTGGGTTGGCTTTTTTTTTTTTTTTTTTTTTTTTTTTTTTAAGGCTTACAAACCTTGAAATAAATTATTTGGAAAGCTGAAGCAGATGTTTCTTGCTGGTGTCATACAGAACACACACAGCCAGGTGGACATGCTCAACTTTCCAAGTTCCTTCTCCTTACAGGGTAACTTGGACAAGAAGATACCCCTTTTGAGTATTTTGTATCATATTGAACTGACCTGAGCTATGCTAAGATCTTTGTATAGTGTTGCTTCTCTGCCATATCAGAACTTCATTCAGAAAGATTTATGATACAAAGTACACTGTAGCCCACTGTGACCTTTCCAGAAACTGCTGAAGGAATTGTTCATAATTACGCTGTTCTCAAAGGTGTTGGTCACAGCTTAGAGGTGAAACCAGTGCTCCTCGCACATTTTCCTAAATTTACCAACTGACCAACTGATCTTCAGTAACAGGATAAAACAAGTGAAAAGCATATTTGCTGAAAGTGGCAGGAAAAGGCAGAGCTCGATGCTTTGATAGCTCACATTGATTTGTGATAAACAGGCACAAAGATGTTTGTCTCAGCTCCCTGCGGCAGCTGATAGGGGGCAAAGGAGAGAACTTGGCCTTCAGGAGCTTTGTTTTAAACTGCAATTCAAAAGCTTGCTGAAATGAACTGGAAGTATCTTTCTATATGATGATATATATCACACATGGAGAGATATATCCACACAATTGCTCTCTTCCCTTCATTTATGAAAGTATGAACACTTCAGCATGCATTGCAGGCAAACGTGCTTTTGTCTGATTACAGAAAATACTCAATGCACATGTGTAAAAAAGGTCACGAAACTAAAATTTTCAACTGCCAATTCATACGGCTTTTCTTGATTTGTCATCATTTTAGAACAGTATCCAGCTTTGTAGGTTTTAAATACTTGAAAAATATGGTTACGTGTCATGTACATCCCCACCTATAGTAACATTTWACCTGAGTGCTCTAAGAACAGACACAAAATGCACTGCCAGCCAGAGGGCAGTATCAAGGACTAAGGTACACAACTGCTTAAGAGATGTATTATCAGTGTTATTTCTGACATATCTGCCCCTTAGTAAAGTAGCAAAATCTCTGCCTAAACTCAGGAATTTTCACACTTCCCCAGTTTAAAAGTTGGGTGACAAAGTGGAATTGAAAGTGGAAATTCTGAAACTCCCAGAAAGTTCCCTATTTTAACAGMAGTGTAATTTTGGGAATAAATAATATGGCTTTTCAGTAATAAAGCTCTGAATAACTGCATCCTCAGAAATAAGTTGTTTGAATTTACTAGCACAGAAAACATAGCACTATCATGTAACACATCATACTTTTTAATTAGGATTGCAGTRAAAACAACTGTGCTGAGTTGGGAACATTTGTACCTTTTCACAGTGCCTTTACTGTTTTAAGGTTTTGATGGAGTTTATCTCCCAYATGAGCCTTGTAGACCTGAACGGACCTGGATGTCAGCTTGCTCTGAAAAGCATCAGGCTTTGGAAGCAAAGGCAACTTAAGGAATCTCTGCAGCTGGACCACTTGAGTACTGTTCAATATAAATTCTCCTTTTTCTTGAACTGAAGTGGAATAAAGAATAGGAAAATCTGCAACACAGTAATGCCATTCCCTCTGATCTACCTTTCCTAACAAAACCAACATCCCAAGAAGACAAATGTAAGGAAATGCTCCCTACAGTGCAGAACAACAACRTAAAAGCAAGAAACAGGGAAGCAATGAGAACGTGAGCTTAGTTCATCAGGGTTAATTTTTATCTGTGTTCCTTCTGAAGTTCATAAAGAAATCACTGCTAAAAAATGTTTTTTAGTCTAAAAATTTAATTTCTGTGATTAACTCAAACTCTCCTGTTCTTCAGTTTACACTGGCAAGTACCTGGGTGTTATGGCATGCTTAGGAAAAATTTAGCAGTCTTAYGTTACATAGTCTCCCCACACACAGGGCTAACTCTCAAGATTTTCATCTCCAGACACGAGGAACAGCTTTCTCTGCTAAGGGCCCCATTTTATCTCAACACAACTGGATAAAAAAGCTCCCATAAAAAGCACAGTCCTTAAAACAAAGGCCTGAGCTGCACCCAACATGGTACCATCATTCCAGTGGATGGCAAATTAAATGGTAAAAGAAAACATAGTATATCAAAATAGCTATTGAAAAATCAAACTTGATAAAAATAGAAGTTTAAACTGCTGTTTTAATCAATGCTTGTATAAGATAACTGTACACCAAATATTAAAGGACTATTTAGGACTAACGCCCTCATCAGTAGGCTCATCTATCAGCATGACCAGAACAAGAGAAGATCAATGTTTAGCTGGCACTCAAGTACAGCACGGCTTCAAAGCAGAGATAATATCAGCATCAAAGCACAGAGAAAAACAGTGGTTAGAATATAATACACTAAATTTGCAAAGTCAGTATCCCTGATGATTCTAACAGAAACAGCAACCTAAATATTGTGAAGTTAATCACTGCTTCTGAACAGAACACAAAATAACTTGCATTTTTAAGAAAAATGAAATGAGTGACTGATGGGAATCAGTTCCCCAAATATTCCCACATATGCTGCAAATTCAGTGGGATCTGCACAAAATATCTGTATCTTCTATACAATTTTAAAGTGCATTTCATCCATTTAAGAAAGTAATAAAATATCAGCTGAACACAGTGACTCGTAATCAAATAAAACATTCTTGACAGTCATTCACAGCAAAGCACAAAGCAGTGACAATTTGTCCTTTCCATTTCCAGCTTGGATACATCCAGGGTAAGGTACAGGCGCTGCGCTACCTAAAGACAAGGCTCTCTACGTACCTGACCACTAGAAGAAAATAAATAAATGACACTTGAGAAGCTTGCAGAGTTCTTTGATCTCTTGATCAGAATCAGTACAGCTTTCAGCCTAGCAGGGTCACATGGCAGTGTACTATCTCACAACAGTTCATTTTGACAATGAACAAGGAAAAATCATGGATTTATTTCCATTAATTCAGCATCTTATTCACATGCAGATATTAGAAAACAGTCATTTTGATCAATGAATACCAGTCTTGTGTTTCTTGGAAGACTTACTCAATTTTCCAAATCTGTAATGTTTATATCTCTTTCACAGCATTCTACTATTTCCRATTTCCATTTCCTATATCTTTTGCAATTCCAACTTATTTACTGTGCACATGTATATCCACTTAAAAATCAACTTTATTTATCGCCAGGGAATTCTTTCACAGATGAAGAATTAAATCATCACCCTCTAAAATAATACTTTATTTCTAATACTAGATAGAATTAATATTTCAGTTAAAGTAGTATTGAAATATTAACTATAATAACAAGGAAGGGAAAATCTGCATGCCAGCAGTACCTGTAATGAAAATGTTCTTTCAGAATCAATTTTCAGGTATTTGGAGGGCTGGGGGTGACACAACACTGAGTAACACTTGTATGTAACACATGAAGTCAGTCGCCAGTGAAATGCAAAAGATCCAGTAATATCAAAAGAAAAAAAGTAGCTACCCCCTTGAAAGCTCCTGTAGCAACTGTAACAATGCAATTCTTTGCTACCCACAAATATGTACCAGGATCTAAGGAAACATCTAAATTTCTGCACATCATGTCATTAACTGGAATACCACTGCACGTGCAGGGAGATAGGAACATCACCAATGGCCTCAGGCAGATATCTCCGCTCTGAACAAGAACAAGGGCCAAGACAGACAACCAAAATACTGGAGATTTCAGCCAAAATAACAGAAGATTTATAAATCACCAAAATCCAGAGAATTGAGAAAATCAATAAGCAAGGASTAATTTCAGTACAGCAGAATGCATGGAAGATTTATTGCTGAAGCAAAAGTCTGAAGAGGAAGTCGTACGCAGCAGGAATAAAGGCTGTGGGACAGGACTGAAGCAAGACCTTTGTCAGACTAATGAACAATTTGGGAGGTGAAATTCTCAGAAAAAGTACTCCCCTCTCGAAGGAAAACCTCATTAAAATGAACATACCACAGGGAGAGGACAAYTTTTTTTAAATCGTTTCTTTAAAAAGCAAGTAAAAAGTAAACTGTAATGCAGCCAATCAGCCCAGACTGCTGACACCTGTAAATGCAACGGGAGATCTGGTAGCCATTGATAATCCCAGTATGGTTCAAATTCTGTCTGCAAGGAATTCTGCCTAAAGTGCGAATCTAGTCTGTCTCAAAAAACCAAAAGAATGCCTAAAAACTGGAAAAAAGCCAAAGCTGCTGGTTTTGCTCAGCTGTCCCACTTGGAGAGCTGCATGCTTAGGGCAAACTACAACCCGCAGCTCTGCTCTGTAGCTGTTCTTCATGGCCAGCACAGAAAACAGGAATGGAAGGCCAGGGAACTGTATATGGATGTTCATAAGCATTACTTCCAGATAATCCAGAAAACAGCAAAGGGAGCTGAGACCACATTCCTACTATAAGAAAGGCTCAAGTTCTTACATGAACAAATGAATTTTTTCAAATCACAATCTGCTAAACCAATAACCACATCACACATTAATCATTTGCTCATGGCAAAGGGGAAAGCAAGATCCCTGAGGCTGAAAAACTGGTAGTAATCTCTTAGCCAGCATTAAAGAAAACAGTAGTAAGACTTGAGGACGTATTATCCACATCCAAGAGACTCAGATTTCTATTGCTTCTCTAATACATAATTATGGCTATGTAGGAGTAAYGTTTAGCAATTCAAATAGTGATTTAATTAATAATTCCTTGACAGACCTATTTTAGATTAAACCAATCAGGGCACTCATCTAATAAACAGCTGATTTTAGTGCCAGCTGTGAGTATGCAGTACATACTTGTTTTGTTTTTGCAGTACAAAATTGTTTTAAATTTTAACAACCTATAAGCAAAAAAAAACATTTACAACCTCAGGTAGTTGAATTGGACATCACCTGAAAATCACATTGTTCTATTGCTACAAATGAAGCCAGAGAGATCACTAAGTGCATCAAAGTCTATGAACTGGATACTTAAGGATGTACATTTCTGTAAAACATTATACAGAAAAATTCTAACAAAAATCAGAGATACAGAGGGCTTTGGAAATAACAGGCCTTGGATCTAAAGTTTTACATATTTATCTGAAGGACAGGCTGCAGGGCAGTTTACCGCAGCTACCCAAGAGAAATGTATCATTCCACTGTGTTTGAACTACACAGGAATACACTACACAGAGAATAAATAAGTTTAATGACAGAGTTACCAGATCAGATGCTAGCTAGCCTTGAAACCCTCTTCCCTCAGAACACAACTTATGAGAATCCAAGTATTCCACAGGTGGGGAAAGAGAACAGTTAAYTTGGACACTGCTGTTATTTTCTTAATGAAACAGCTCTTGCTTCCAAACTGTGACTCATGAGGAGCCTTCCTACTATGCACACTGGCAAGTCTCTTTATAGCCTGACACTATCAGTACAGGGAGCAATTCAAATCCAGGTACATCTCTGTGAATTACAGGCCACTGCCAAAGTAGAGGCCRTTTTAACTGGGTAAGTAACCACTTAAATATTCTTGGGTTTAAGTGTAGTCAGATAACAGCTTTGAGGAGGTGGTTGCTTTTTTGGCTTGTTTTGTGGGTTTGTTGGTTTTTTGGTTGGGTGTTTTTTTTTTTTTAACATAAAATGGAACTGTCTGAACTGTGCCCTGAGCAGGGCCAAGAGGCAAAGCCCAGGAGGGCGTTTGCTCCCTTTCATCAGCTTATCTAGAGAGATGCAGGCAGGTACTGGTAGCGCTCCTGGAGCCCACTGAGTGGTCAACTGCCCYCCACAACAGGGAGGACGGTTTGTCTCCCTGTTCCACATAAATATCTGACAGCAGGAGTTTGGGGAGTGCCTTGAACGAGCATCTATAAGGAATCATGTGACAGGAGGACTGATTCTGCCTTCTGACTAATCTGCATTTATAAAGATGCCTCAGCTCTACCTCAGTTTGCTACAGCTCCTCACCCACAAGGTRTAAGGGCATCCTATGCATTAGTGCAGGTAGAAACATAACCGCTTAGAGAGGCAGTTGAACTGATTTTTTTTTGCAGACCCAAAAATAAAACCAATCTGTTATTATGAACCTTTATTAAGCGGCTCACATTTCAGTATAAATCACACTAAAAAGATTTTTAAAAAAGATATTTACACTACAGTGCTGACACATTTAAAATGAAAAAATTGGTATAAATAAGCTCTATGGAAAAGCCTGGAATTGTCAAAAAGAATTCTGGCTCATCTTACAAAAAATATATATGTTAAATGTCAGCTCTACTCTAAAACCTACAACTCAAAATTATTTAAAGACTTCTTTATGTTAAACCTGCAGTGTTTACAGTGCATCTGGCCCTAAGTGCTTTGATACTTCACAGTTATGGACAGGCACTGAGGAATGTTACAAAGCTACATAACTATTTTCTGTAACAGATGCGAAGACAAGTCACAAACTTGCCTCACAATTTATGGTCTTTACATTATTACATCATTAACTTTAAAAAGAAATTTAAAACCATATATACAAATTTAGCACAAAAAATCATCCTCTCTTTGTCCATGCAATTTTGGATATGATGAACTATGTTGTCTTGTATCATCTGGATGTACRTGACCTCCAGAGCACAACTTGCCTTGTAAGTCCTTGTTGCCAGGTTCAAATTTAGMATCCATTTCCAACTTTAATGACGTCAACTCAACGTGATCCAGCCTTGTCTGAACATTCTGTCCCCCAACGTCATTAGGTGTCACCGTCTTTTCAGCAAGATCAACATTCATGGGTTCTTCTTTTACTCGGAGAGATGCAAGAGGTTCGTGTTTTATCGGCAAAAATTCCTGCTGCAGGTACTTGGTCTGYAGAGCATCTGGAAATTTGGTGTCTTCGGAGGTATCTTTGCTCATAGTACAAATCCTGTCAGTCTGAAGTCCAACAACCGAAGACTTGGGGTCTGCAGAGGTCCCTGCTTCAACAGTACTTGTGTTTTGAGAGAGTTCTTCCTCTGAATGATAGAGCTTGAGCCGGATGTGCCAAGCCAAACTACACACAGCTGAAACTGTTTTGAACTGGTGCACAACATTCCTTGGGATGAAATAAATGTCATTGTCGAATAACTGGATTCTGGCATATCGAATGCCTTCCCTTCGCAGCTGATTAAGTTTTGCATCATCAACCCACTGGACACACTGTAGGGAAAAGGTGAGGGAAAGGTGAAAACTCTGACTTAGTACTCAAAGGACACTGACCATCAGTTCTTAGCATGCTTACCTGTGAGAGTGGAGGCTCATGCAAATCTAACTGCATTCGCTGAACTACCTCCAAGAAGTCCTCAGCATGAAAACAAATTACATCTTTGGTTATACGAGGCTGCTCAGACCTACAGAAGAATAAGAAGTGTACAGTCAGAGGCTGAAACKAACATGCTACAGAAAATAACAACAAAAAGTCTGCAAGATACGATAAAGCAAATTACTTAACAAAAAAAACCTCAACAACTCTTGCGTAACTCACACGTTTTTAAGAAAAAAGATAGACCAAAATGGTTAATTCTGAAATACAACCCCACTAAACTAGTTAAACAAATYAACTGCAATTTCTTTGTAAGTGGAAGTAAAAGCAACAATAAAAGGCCAACAAAACACACTATTTTTCATTTCTATTTTTAACTGATCTCTAGTCTGCCTCGATGCTGAAAGACAGCTACAATACACTGGGCTTACTCTGTCAGCACTCCTACATGTTGCACCCATCAGGGTACCTGAGCATGCACAGTCTGACTGGGAGCACTATGGCAACCACTGTTCAGCATCTCTGCCTCACACACCTTGCTCAGAGTTAGGAGTAAAAGCTGAACCTGCATTATGCTACCACAATCAGTAATAAGCCAATACCAGCAATCTACCACAAAACATCCCTAAAGAATACATCCCTATTTATGCTCACTAGAGACAGCTACAGAAGAGCGAAGWCTGAATTAGACTTCGTTTCTACATTCAAATTGTTAAGAGAAACCTCTCTTGTTCCAAAGCACCTCTCCCAAAGAAATATATAACATTTCCATAATTCCTCTGGAGACTTTATCTAGAATCAACTAACAAAAAGCAAAAGCAGCTAAAGTCTTCATCACTTTCTGATCCAAAGGCCAAACTGTTCCTCTCTAAAAACATGCAAAAAAAAAAAAAAAGCTCCACGTTTGTTTTTGAGGGATGTTTGCATTTTAAAGGGATTTTTTTTTAATTGAAAAGTAATGATACATACATTTCATGTATAAAAAATAAAGCTCCCATTGGAGTGGTTTTGTAAGGACAGTTTCTCAGCCAGAAAGAATYTGGTTGATGACTTCTTTCCTTCCTCCTCTGGAGTCACCCAGGGCCGACAGAAGTGCAGCACCTCCTCGGCCCGCAGTGGGCACAGGCCACGTGTCCAGGCAACGCCCATCAGAACCAGGGACTGGACCCAGGGCTCAGAACCACAACCCTGCTGTGCTCCTGCCTCTCCCATCTACAGGGCCAGGCTGGCTCCTGCCACCCCTCCAGTACATTCTTCACCCCACTTCCACCTCTTCAAAAACMGAGTGYAAATCSGGCCTAGGGGACCTGGGGAGCAGTYGATGCAGCAGAGCTGATAGATTTCAGAACCTACTACATGTGTCAGTTTGAAAGATGGGTGTTAGCCAATGAAGGCAGGGTCCCCCCTTGGAGTGGTGGATATGACCCCCCTTCTCTCCAAATTATTATAGCTTTGAAAATCATGGGCTTTCAGGCAAGAATATGGGTAAAAGGGAATAACAGTTTTTACCAATATGTATAACAAGGTGAAACAAGCAACAATAATGATAGCAACAGCCAACCCAACCACAAACCCAGTAACAGCTTCACACACAGACACACCTTCCCCTTTGGTACAGTTATGGTGTCCTGGTTTTACTTGGTCCGGTTTTTGGTGGTGGGGGGATGGGACCAAGAAACCACAAAGATGGCTCCTGTGAGAAAAGTTCTAGAAGCTTTCTCCTTCTCSAACAAAAGGAGCCCTGCTCCCTGTGTTTTAGAACCAATCCATTGTAGCTCTGAGGCTGATGGACAGGTTGATTGCCCTGGGCCAATTGCACATGCTAGTTACACCTCTGTGATAAAGTATGGTCTTGTATTTAAGAAGAATTCAAAACAAAATACGGTGTGGCCGCCATTTAGTTTTTAGATTTTTAGTATCAGCTCCTGCACTGGGGGAGGACAGAGGAGGGTAAGGAGATGTAAGAGAAAAAATGGAGACCCAAGATCACAGTAAGGAGAAGAGAGGTGCTGTTGCTGTGGTGCTCGAACATGGAGAAAACAAACTTTTTCTTGAAAGGACTATTTTCTTCAATGGGAGACCTGTATAGAAAAGAGAGGCTCAGCACCCAAGATAAAAAACCTGGCCTTGGAGGACTGGACTGATCATAAGCCAAAAAGGGAGAAGAAGTGCCCCCCCCACACACATCTGAAGGGAGTTGACACTCAGAAGAAATTGTGTACTGCCACGAGATTTGAGAGAATGGCCTTGCCCTCAGATTGAAGCACCTAGCCTTGGAGGACTCTTTTTCCTTCCTCCCTTGAGGTAAAGAAAAAGAATCCCATGCCAGCAGTTATACACTGACTGTTTCTTGGGAAAAGAACTTCCACATCTTGGAGCTGTATCATATCCCTTGATACTGGACAATAACCGTAATAAGTAGTTAATCTATGTTAAAACTTTCATCCCTGCCCCCCTTGCGCACAGGAAGGCAAGAAGGGGTGGGGAGAAGTTACCTGGGAGAGATGGGTTCGCAGAAAGAATAACAGGGGTCTTACAATGTCTGTTTTTTTTCTTCTCCTTGTAAATCTTTCCCTATCTCTGTTCCCCTCCCCAGTGTGGTAGTATTCTTAGTAGTTTTTAGTAATAAATCTATTTTGCAACTTAAGTTATTCAGCCTGTCTGACCGTTTCTGGCACATATATATATCTTCCTCTCAGTTATGTTATCTAAAAGCCATAAATTTTATTGTTAATTGGGCTTTTGCTCTCCCCTCTGCCTTTTTGGGGTGGGAATGCCATGGGTGCTTTGGCTTTTGGCCAAGTTCAAACCATGACATTCGGTCACAGCCGGCAAGGGCGCTGTTGGCTCCTGGCCGGGCAGGGCGGGTGCGATGATTCCCCGGCGGCTGCAGGAGGTGCTGTGGCAGTGGAGGTGCCAGCTGGTTCAGATCTCTCACATGGTCAATGCCAGGCACAGACCAGCAGAGATGGATGGAGAAAATGTTCCCCTACAACCTCACAAGGGAAAAGACAAACTCGGTGCTCCTCTGCACAGCAAGAAACCTCAGAACGGCCAGATGAGCAAAGAGACAGCAGAATCCTGCTGCTTGCTGTATCAGAACTGGGCCACTGTAACTGGAATCACAGGGGTCCCGGCAAGGGGACAGAAAACCACAGTGTAGCAAACAGAAATCCATGGCAGGACGCTGGGTTCTGCAGCAGTAGCAGGTGAGCTCTGCCCCACAGGCAGCAGGTCCACCGTCCTCCCCCGAGCCAAGCAGGGCAGGAAGTGAAGCTACCTCGCCTCACACACACACACACACACGCCCTCCCGGAGCGCAAAACTCCCGAGAGAACTTCCCTCTCTTCCAAGAGAGGGGGGGGAAAAAAAAAAAAATCTTCCAGGCAGGAGGAGTGCCCAGGGAGACCCTTCTGCCCCACCCAGGGCCTAAGCCTAGAACCTTCTTTTGTCTTCCCCAATCGCACAGCCATCCAAAGAATGACTTGGCAATCAGTGTATCCCAGCAACAAAATGGGAAAGAAAATTCTCCAAGAAAGGAAACAAAAGGAAAAACCTTAACCCACAACCATGTCCAAGTGCTCGTTTTTTTAAAGCAAGATGATCAACTATATATACATATATATATATATATATGTACATCTCGTCATTACTATTCTAGGAAGCAGGCAATGATGTACAGTTCATTCAGGCTTTTTTAACATAGGAGACAGATTTATTTTATTTAGGTCAGGACCTCAATAAAGCAAAAAACATACAGTCAGAGGCTATTTTCAGGAGAAAAAAAAATCCCAGAACAAGTTCTGAAAATATGCTAGGTAAAATTTCCAGACGACATATTTTACTTTCAGTTTTATGAAGATTAAAATGTGTCTCTGTATTTTGATCTGTGTACTCCCAAAGAGGATTTAAACACTGAAWGCAGAAAGCTTCAGAAACACTTCTCATCAATGGCATTAAAAATATTAGCTGCATTAATACACCTTTTATAATGCAGGTATTTATTCTTAAAAAATAAATTTGCATTCGGGGTCACCAGTATTCATAAATGAGGTTAAGAATTGAAATCTATTGAAATAATATTTCACACACCAAGAGAACTTWAATCCAAATCAATGTGTTTCCCAGCACTGTCTATTTTGGTTTATGCATTGTCATTCCTAGTCTCAGTCCATATATATCTGTCCAAGAGGATGGATCACCAACTCTGTGCTGCAGTTCTATCACAAAACACAACATTCCCTTTGCAAACACCTGAGAAMAAATACCATCAAATAATTTTAAATTCTACATTTGAAGAATTTATTTTTAGCACAACTTCAAGATAATATTTTAATTTAGTGGGTATCATTTACCCACCCCCAAGCAACACAATAGCACAAAGATCAGTTAATGTCGAAAAAGACATTAAATGAAAACAGAATGATAACTTCAAGAAAGAAACATTTAAGCCTCTGCTAGAGCACTGCTAGAACTGTTTCCCCTTGAAACTTCTTCTTCAAAAGGACTGGATTCTTTTTGCTGTAACTTCTCAAAACAGATTCAAGACTACAGGTTYTACCATTAATATTTCTGATCTAATGCATGAAGTCTGGCAATATATAATGAATTCCTATGTTCATGCAGAGATGCAAAACTTCAGTCTCTAGAACACAAACTTGAAAGCTGCTTGCTGAAGTACACGTTTCATTTTGGCAACAACAATACTACAAAGTGCCTTGTGCTGTCCCTGTAAAAACCCACCCAGATTTATGCCCTCATAAAAATCTTGTAAATTTCCATAATTTTAAATTTCACTGGCATTTCAGAAGTCCTAAAGCTCCCTTGGTACCACCTATGAAAATGCCATTAAGTAATCAGCATGATCACACCTGCATTTATCATACATCAGTRCAATCCTTAAAATTCAGAGTCCTTATGTAAACTGTAAATATTCAAAGCAATAAAAAGAATATCATAATACAGGAATTTTAAAAAATCATCTCAAATCAGGATCCTGCAATACTTGAAAAAGGAAAATTTTTTTCATCTTCAAAATACTATGCCTAACTTCCACTTCTGTCCTCTAGCAACATAACCTGCTTTTTGCCTTTCAACMGTTCTGTTTCAGTCTGTTTTGAAAGACACCATTTATCCCACCTAACATTCATCCCTATCAGCTACAAAGTAAACCCCACTTTCTTTAAATCTACAGCAACTTACAAAGCTTTTTTTCCACACTCAATCAATTTTTATGTATTTAGTTCAGGCAGTCCAGGAATTGCTTTATTTTATCCTCASAGAAAGCATTATTTTTATATACATTTATCACTAGAACATGTGTATTTTTACTGCTATAGTACCTTAATAACCCCAGAATATCTCCAGCTTTTCAGGTTTGTTCAACTACTCAAACAGATTAAAAACAGAAACAAAACTGAACAAAATTGAAACTAGATTTTTCAAAACTTCCCTTTATGGTGTTTCCTTTGAAATAAATCTACCCACAGATTGCAAATTATGGAAAAACTAATACCTGGAATTATTTTAATGTGATACATTAATCAATGATTCTTCACTATTATAAGCCCTGATAAGTTCTTACCATGTAAGTACACTGTCAGTACACTGTTTTCAAAATTACACAGAAGTGGAAAGGGAAAACATCATTTAAGCCAAATCAAGCCTGAAATACGTAACTTTTATTGTATTGCTTGAGGTGTATATTTTAGTCCTCTCCATACATCAGTCATAAATTTTTTATTCTGAATTAAAATAGATGTTTTCAGTCCTTACGCTGAAGTGAAATAAAGCTATGTCTTTTTTATTCCCTGAACTGAAGTACTTTCAAGTACGCTATAAAGCTACAGTTGAGAATGGGAAGTTCCCAGACATTTAAATTAMTATCAATTTAAATTCTTAATCTCCACAGACATCCAAGTTTGAGGAGCAGAGTTTTGTTTGGTTTCTTTACTTCCTTTGCAAGTCCATCGCTCAAATGTGCAAAGTGTAMTTTAAAATACTCAGATCAACAGAGTTATCTCAGCTCTTGCACTGCTACCACTGCTCAGTTTTATTCACCCCACCGTCTCAGTCAGARCAAGCAGGAAGTTGAAGGCTCCCACTGTCATCAACCTGAAGAGGAAGGAAACTGAAAACCTCAGAGCCCAAGAGACAAACACATTATCATCTGAACAATCCACTTCTTCCCCAATGACAGTTATTCTACTTTCTATGTCAATGAATTCATGGACTGCAACACAAATTCACATAATTTCMTCCAAAGGGAATTCACTCTTCTAATTTCTAGATAGACACAAAGAGCAAAAGGTATTTATAATGTTTACATATGCAAAGGCAACCTCTGAAACTAAGGTCATTCTCTGAGGGCTGAAGATCCYGAAAGAGGCCTCCTAGATCTGAACCAGGAAGCCCACGTGATTATGGGCTTTTTATATGGTTAACATGTAAACAAGCTGCAAATGAGCCACATTTCATTTCTTAAATCTCATACAGGAATTCCAAAGACAGACACAAAAAAAAAAAAATCACTCAACTTCCAAAAGGATTCTTCCTGGTGAGCTGCCATAGATAAATCAGGATTGTAACAGCCATGACTTGGGAAGCAGAAGCCTAAGAATTCTGCTCATCTCCAGACAATACAAAGAACTGCCAGAAGGTYTCCACCTCTGGAGCACCTCTGCAGCAGCAGCTCAGCTCAATCTCTACGCAGCACTTAGAGCAAAACAAAGTGTGAAGTGTTTTACATCGAACATGAACTCTGTTACAGCAACTCAATTATAGCTATTGAACTGTCACTGCAAGGTACCTTTCTGGTTTCCATCACACAGCAAAACCATACGTAATCTAGCAGAGGGCAGACAAACACCTAAATGCTCAGCCAGAACCTATGAAGTCTTCATTAAATCTTTAATCCTAGATTAACTTACTCTGCACTCTCTCCCAATTATGGCAATTGAAAAAAAATGGCAATTCAGGCAAACATTTTTCAGACACCAAGGTGAAGCCAATCAACACCTACCACTCCCCACAGTGCACAGCCTTCAACACTCCCACGGCAGCTGTGGTCTGTCGTTCAAAACCTTGTCCTATGTGATCCGCATGGGCTCGTGTCCTGTCTTCAAATAGCATTTCACGGGGTTCACTGGTTCGAGGTAGGTACTGCAAGTTTTTTATTTCATTGGTAGTTCTGCATAAGAAAAACAGTAATAGTGAAATAGAAATTTYTCTGAATTACCTATTTTCCATCACTGCCAATAGGACTGGTTTTCTCCCTTCAATGAGAACACAATAGTCAAACAGGGAAAACAGTTAACATTTAGGTCAAATAAAAATGTAATGATCTATACAAAACATTAGAATACCTTTTCAGTGAAAAAAATAAAGACAAAAAATAAAGACAAAAAATAAAAATAAAGACAAAAAATCCCAACAAACACTAACAACAGTGTCAGGTCCCAAAGTGCACAGAAAGGCCCTAATGACTCAGCACCCTTGCTCAGTCTCCAMACAACAAACAGGAACCAAGAGACCCAGAATTCTGAACCCAAGGCCTGGGTCCTTCCTTGGTCCTGGTTTGCGCTGTGCTGCAGGAGCACCACTTTCCATCTCATCCAGAGGTATGCTGTGTCATGGATTTGMTTCTCAGCTTGTCCTCAGGACACTTTTATCATGCTACACCTAACGTGGCAGTCTCTGGATCTGACCATCATTGGCACACTGATTTCCTGGCTTGACCTCAGACTGGCCCCATCACCACACACTTGCCTGACACACCTGGATCTGGGCTGAATCTGGCGCCCAAGCCCCAGGTCTGCCCTACCTGATTCCATGAGGGAAGGCCATGTTCAGGAAATGGTCAGCCTTTGTTGCTTCCTGACTATTAGATATAGATTTTAATTGTTCCTGAGGTCTTTATTCATCTTTCATATTCTACCAAACTGCTGGGAAATGTGTGTGCATTTAGATCCATGTTGTCTGAGAGAAAACAGCAAAGGATTATTTCTTCAGGGTTTAACAAAAGTGAAGAAACACTGCAGAGGGGAACAGAGCCACAAGACTGTCTTCCTGGCCACCTGGAGCCAACCCTGTGCRCTGTTTGTAATCATAGCACAGCAAAGGCTGTGGTATCTGGAGACTGTGTAGTCCAACTTTTCCCACTCCACTAGAGTAAGCTGCTTGACTGTCAAGTCTTAAGCAAGATTCAGATCCCACCAGCTCCCTGGGCAACCTGCCCTAATCCTCATCTATGCAAAAAAGTAAACCCTTTTTTTCCTTATTTTAAATTGATTTTCTTGTAATTCCGTTTGTGTCCATTCTCTCTGTTCATGTCATGGCACAACTGAAGTAAGTCCTTTTTAGAACCTTCTGTGAGTGCTTAAACACATCGATATGATCCCACTAAGCATTCTTTTCTCAGGAGTAAATATTCTCCAAGGTCACCAGACATCCTCCATTATGGCAATGTCTGTCTCAGCCTGGTGAGCCCAGAACTGGGCATGCTACTGCAGATATGTCTCACAAGTGATGAGCAGAGAAGAATCCTGTCCCTCAATGTGCTGACAAGTGTTTTTCGTAATCCCATCCAGGAGTCTGCAGGTCTCCTTTGCCACAAAGGCACAACAAGGGCTTATGGCCAGGTCAATGTGGCCCCCACCAGCCCCCCAAGTCCTGCTCTGTTGGGCTGCTGTCCAGACAGCTGGTCCCCAACTTGTGCTGGTTCATGTGTTATTCCTCCCAGGTACAGGGCTTTGCACAGCCCTACGTTAACTTAGTGAGTCCTCCAAGCTGGCCCATTTCTACACCTCTACAGCCTCTCTACAGTTGAGGTCCTGGGCACATCAACTCCTCCTTCCAGTTTTGTAACACCTGCAGCTTGGTGAAGGTATGCTCTGTCCCACAATGCTATTTTGGAGATGCTGAACAATGCCAGCACAAAATAGGAAGGTCTGGATGACTTTAGTAGCAACTGTTTCCAGCTGGACTTTGTGCTGAGGCKCACAACCCTCTGCGCACAGCAGTTAAGCCAGTTCTTGGTCCACTTCACTCACCTATTAGTCYAGTCCATCCTTGGTTAATGTGCCTGTTAGGATGTTATGGGAGACTGGTGCCCAGTGTGGAAAGCCCTGACAAATTTGAGACAAACCAGACCCCTGGCACTCATCTCATCCTGTAAGCCAAGAATTTTGTTGTACGTCAGATGGATAAAGCGTAATTTCTCCTTTGTTAATCAACATTAGCTACTCTCAACTATCATCTTGTCCCTCATGCTTGAAATGGCATCTTYCCCACAATGAAGGTGAGATTCACTGGCCTGTAGCTGCCCAGATTCTGCTTCCTACCCTTCTAAATGACTGGAGGGACATTTGCTCCCTTCCAGTCCTCAGGAGCCTTTGCCAATTTGCCATGACCTTTCAAAGACAGTGGCCTTGCAATAACACTGGCCAGCTCCCACKGCACTTGAGGGATGTGACCCATCCCAGCAGGTCCCCTGGGCTTCTGTCTGTATAATCTGCATGTCTAGAAAGTTTCTTAACCTGATGTTCCTCCACTGAAGGCAAGTAGTCCTCTTTCCAGACATTCCTACTGACTCCAGGCATTCCTGAACGTAAATCTCACCAGAAAAGATGAGGGCAAAGAAAGCACTGTCTCAGTCTTTTCTGTGCTCTTTGTCCCCAGGYCCTTTGGCCCATTCAGCAAATTTCTTCCATTTTGCCAGTCTTTCTTCTACTGTCCATATGCCTGTCAAAGTCCCTGCTGCCCTTCACATTCCTTGCCAAATTCAACTCCAGATGGTCTTTGGCTGTAACTGCATCCCCTTCGTGGTTGGACAGTGTCTCTATACTCCTTCTGAGGCACATGACCCTTCTTCCACTTCTTGTACACTCCCTTTCTTGTGTTCAAATTTTGAAAAGAACTCCCATGACAATTCCTCATGASACATAATATTCAAGTTCCGCAGAGGTTGTCCCTTCTCTTCAGCTGGTTCTTATATCCAATACCATCTTTAAGCAAAGCTTAAAGATTTCATGTAATGTTGGAGTTATTATCTTCCAGGTGAGAGAGAAGCCCTTGTCTCTGGAGGCCATAACACATCCACTCACATGTAACAGCAGTATCTCACGGCATGTATCAATAATTGCATTGTGTGAAAAATTTCCTGAAGTTTTCACCTTAAATTTCTACTAAAGCTCCAAAAAGGACTAGCATCTTATTTGGCCACATGGTAAAAAGAGTAAAAAAAMCCAACAAAATTAAATCCAGATCCTTACATAACAAAACAACAAAAAAGTATTTGGAGGTGAAGATTTACAGAAGTTTTTATTAAATGTAGTATCAAACAGTAAAAGTTTTGGTATAAAATGAATTTGTAAAGAAAAGGTATTAACCAGACACTCATCAAGAAAGATAATTCAACTTACCTCTTCCTTTTGAAAGGTGACTTTGGCATGTCAGCCACAGGGATCATCTGTTCTCCTGGACGTACCCACATAATGGGACCATCATCACTGTCTTTACGACTCTCTAATTTTAAACTAGAAAGTGTTCCCCATGGCAGTGTACACTAATGGGAAATACAAGCCACAATTTTGAAGTGAGTTACTTTAAAAAAACTTAGTAAAAGCAGCCTTTATCTCTCACGATGAAAACACTTAGCAGAACACTCATTTATCTAAGCAAGTATCACATACTCTCACTTTATTATAACAGCACTACACAGCATATTGTCCCCCTTCTCCCAGCCCATTCCCTTCTGTCCTTACTTTCAAGAAGGGTGATTCTTCCAACATATCAAGGAATTCAGGGAAGTAATCCCCCACTTCCTCATCAACTGCTCCAACCAGGCTGATCTGTCTCATTGGGCCAGCTCTATACGTACCATGAGAGTATGTTCTTTTTACCTACAAGTAGAATATGACAACAAAAGTTACACCGAGCCCCCTACTGTGCAAAATCTACATTCAGTGAACATATTTCATCTCTATGCTTATGCTTTCTGACATTAGTCCTTCAGTCTTCAGTGTACTTAAGATTATTATGAAGTCAACTACTATGAACTCAAAAATAGAAGATCTAATTAAAAATCCATGACAATTGGTATTTTATCTTAAAACATGAAGTAAACTGGAGTAACTATTTATTGTCTTTCAAGAAGATAATATTCCAAACCAGCAACTTTAAAAACATCAACATATGTTCTGCTCAGTAATTAGTCAATAAGGACTCTTACCTGGATTACTCAAGTCTAGCTGAATTTCTATCTTTTTCTGCAACAGGCAGAACTGAGTTACAAGTAATTTAAACATTTCCTCTGCTAATCACCCTCTCCAATACGGCCTCTGTGAGAGCACTTTAACTGGAGCAAATTACAACAGTGAACATAAGGCTCATGAAGAATTTGTACAAAAAGAGAGACGATTATAGCCACTCTTCCCCTTTTGCTGTGCTGTGTTAGCACATCTTGTGCTCTCTTCAAACTTTAAGGGCTGTTAACATTCACCCCCCATGAGAAATCTTTTACTGTGAAATTTGAACAGAAACACATATTGTTTAAAGATTTCTTTCAACAATCTGATCTGTTGTGCTAGATCACCAAAATACTCAGGGCATGAGATTGATAAGGATCATGTCCACTTATGCTTCTGATTTCCTGTTTAACAGGAAAGACACAGTGGCATTATGAGATAAATATTAAGAGATCAGAAGGGAGGAAAAAGCAAGTGGATTACTGCATACACCAAGTAATGCTCCTGTACTGCACCTCTAGACATTCTGCATCCAAACCAAGAAACGAAAAAAAAGTGCAAGAAAAATAGTTAATGAAGTACTCCCTAGCTGTGGTCCTCACCCAAACAGACCATCGACATTCCTAGTAGCTATGGCAGTGCAGAAGAGAAATAGCAGCAATTTCTGAAAATAAAACTAAAATATGGAATAAGGAACAACACTGTGCCCTTCTGAGGAACTCAACCAATGTAACCAGATCTCTCCAGAAATGCAAAATCAAACAGTGTTCAGATCATCCCAGTCATCTCACACACCTAGCAAGTGGAGGACTGGCTAAAAGTAGTATTTTACAAACATCTTAGCTAATACTATAGCAAGCCATCACAGACACACTGAAGAGAACAATCCTGCTAGACCGTAATATTCCTCTATTCCTCAAATCCTTAGTCATACATTCCTGCAGGGTTTTTTTTTTTTTTTTTCAGAGACAGCTGGTGATTTTGTGATGAAATATCACAAAACAATTCATTTCTGCTGAATCTGCATCAGCTCAGACTTCAGCTATATCTGCACTGGTGCAAAGCATCAGGAGCTTGTACAACTAAAGCACTGAACAAGGAAGAACCCTAAAACCACTTTATGAAGCTACAGACAGCCACAAATCTGTGACAGTTTATTAAAAAACCTAACATGCAAARGGATGTTTCTTCCACTGGCATAAGCAGCTTAGCAATCCACCACTCCAGCTCAGGATATTAAGATGATGTTTTCATCTACATCCCTGATTAAAGAGAACCAGTTTTCTGCATTTTTCCATGCTTCCTTTCACTACCTACTACCACTCTTCTCAAGTMATAAGTGATCAACAAGGGAAAATGGCCTCAAGTTGTGCCACGGGAGGTTTAGATAAATATTTGAGAAAAATTTCTTCACCGAAAAGGTTGTCAAGCATTGGAACAAGCTGCCCAGGGAAACGGTTGAAACACCATCCCTGGAGGCATTTAAAAGATGCACAGATGTGGCATTTAAGGACATGGTTTAGTGATGGATTTGGCAAGACTGGGTTAACAGTTGGACTCTTACAAAGGTCTTAAAGGTCTTTTTCATCTTATATCATTTTATGATTCATACACCATATGATGAACTGGTTGTGAAATTACTCCAAGTGAAAACTCTCCTAAAAATACCAACCTAAAGCTTGGAAAAGCTGTGAAGCTTCCAGCTGGATCAACCCACTCMTTTGGCTTATATACCACTAGGTGTGGGTAATGAAGCATTCAGYCAGCAAAGTATATAACTACAGCATAATGCCTCTATTAAGGTGTATCAACAAAAAAATTCATACCTTCCCAAGAAAAGACCATGCCACTGAAAAGGTAAAACYGAAAAATCAACACAACTTTTTCAAGCATTCTATGTCCAACCCCCTTCACCTCCAGCTCTCCTGGTCAACCACCCTCRATCAACAGGCAGTACAATTGCTTCTCAAGATGCAGCTTAAAAGAGGAAACACCACTATGAATGCTAAAATAATGTCAAAGTTACAAATGATGAGGGGTTTCTTCTGGGACCATATTTGGAATCACATCATTACAAATACAGAATGAAATGTTTTGAGTAATTAAGAAGTCTGTGGTGGCTTAAACCCAGGCAGCAGATATGGATCTAACAGCTGCCTGCTCACTCACCCTTGCCCCACCATGGTAAGACATGGGAAAGGACAGGAAAAGCAAGGGAATGTATAGGTCCAGACAAACAAGAGTTTATTCAGTGAAGAGGAAACTGAAGAAGAAAAACCAACAAGTTTTCCACCACTCATCAACTCCCACAAGCAGCAATCCCCAAGCAATAGGCACTTTCCAGCCAACCCATCAGACTCCTCAGGGTTTTTTTGCTGAGCATGATGTTACACCGCACAGAATACCCCTGCAGTCAATTTGAGCCAGTGCCAACCATGTCCCCTCCCAGCTTCTTGCCCACCGCAGCCTACTCCTCAGGGACATCCTGGAAGCCKTGACAGTGTGCCAGTGCTGCCCAGCAACAGCCAAAACACCARTGTGTTATCAACCCTTTTAGTCACAAACCCAAAACAGTCCATGAAGAAAATTAACCTGTCCAGACTCAGCATGAACAGGAAATAAATCCATGCTGGTAACCCAAAAGGAGGATTTGCTCTTTTTCCTTCTTTCCTGGCAGCATTAGATCCTCTGAAGATGGACAGAGAGCAAGCCTAGGGAATTAATCTGACTTTAATCCAAGAATTAACTAAAAATATCTGTATTTTAGAAAATAATAAAAATTAAATAAAGACATAGGCCATAAATACTGATGTCTGGCCTGACAGAACAAAAGGGAATATGAAAGACAAAGCATCTCTGAGCAGTGAAAAGCAACTCTCATCTCTTCCATTAACTGGGTCGTAGCATCCTAAACTCTAGTCTTAGAGCAGAGGCTGATGCTTAAACTACACTATTAACTGGGTCGTAGCATCCTAAACTCTAGTCTTAGAGCAGAGGCTGACGCTTAAACTACACTATCTTAGATTAGGTTAAAGACTTAGACAAGCATGAATAAAAACGCGAAGTCATTGCTAGCAGGAAAAACTAATTTTCACTCACTCCCAACTTAGACTGCAACTAAGTAAKAGTGTGAAAACACCAAAACCTTCCACTGATGTTTGACCAATGACAAAAAAAAATTAATCCTTATAAAGAYAACAACCAAATAAATACAACCCGTGGCGTATTAGGTAACAGCAACATCTTCCATTCCTTTTACTATCGATATCCTTTGGCTAGKTTGTTCATAGGAAGAGAAACAGATTCTTCTATGTATTTCTCAACTCACAAAAACAATACTGATGTACTAAAACCTGTACTTACTCATCACATTCTAAATTAAATTATGCACTGACCTCTAACAAAGCATTATACATCTTCTATAAAGTAATCTTCCCAGATGTAATTCCACAGCTTACAGTGAGTATGTTTTTAGCATTTTACAGATTTGCTCAAAGAAATAACTGAACAACTTAAATCCATAATAAAAGGTGCAATCAAAGACATGCTGTTCTTCTAGCACATGGTCAGCAATGAATACATACACACAAATCACCCAGTACACACAGTATAATACCATGGCAGGTAAAAGAGATAAAAAACATATCAAATAATAAATATGACATCCTAACTTCTTTCTTCTCATGTAGCTTACATTTGAAGTATGTCACCTAAAAACACACAARAAGAGACTGTCATTTTCTTGCATCACAGTAATGGAAAATTATGACAGTGAAACCACCACTGCCTCCACGATTAGTAAAAATTGAGAATTACCTGCTTCTGTGACTCACATGGCCTCAACTGATTTTTTAATGCAGCAAAAAGTATTTTGACAGAATTGATTTGGGTCTAACAAGAATCTGAAGACTAAATGTGAAAATACATGTGTGTGTGTGTATATATATATATATATATATATATATATATATATATGTATGTAATATCAAAAATATATTTGAACATTATCAGCCCACAAATGGAAACATTTTAGACACCATTTGTTAAAGATGTTTCCATTTTGTGTTTGAATAAGTCACAAAGTGGAAGGAAAAATCCAGACAAACCATGCACTTCAAGACAGGAATTTAAAAGATGTGAACTGGGGTAAGTAATAACTGAATTCCTATTTTTAATATAGTAGGGTCTGGGTTGTTGTGGAGTTTGGGTGGAGAGCTTGGGGTTTTTTTTCGGTTGAAATGTAATCATTTTCCTGCTAGAATTTTAAAGGTTTAAACTTATTTCAATTTTTCACCTTTAAAAYGAAGGTCTAGAACAACAGTCCTCAGAGAAAAAAAATAACCAACAACAAACAAAAAAWTTATCCACCAACTGAACCCAAAATAATTTCAAGAAACACATAAAGTCCCACCAAAGACCAACAAAAAAACCCCAAAACATTACAACACCTAAGAATATGAAAGGACATTGAAGAAAGAGAGGGYTTCCATTTCACTACACAAGTGCACAAGCAATGTACTTGCACGCTGCTGTCTCAGTGTTATCTCAAACGCTACAGCCATGAAGTGGCCCTGTACCGTTCCGGCTCATTTGGTACATTTTGATAAAGGGCCCACATGGTTTCCTGTTCCTTGCCAACTTTTTTCAAATTCTTA